TTTTTTTTTTAATACCCAGTGCTTTACTTCCATTTACCTTTGAAAAACAACTTACCGAAGACTCACTATCACGAATGAGGAAATCACCTTCATGCCCCCTTTCATTTAATGCCATTTCTGCTTGATGCCTGGTGACTTTCCCGTAATACCAAGGATTGCCAGCAAACTTTCCAGTGAGTGAAGGCCTAATGTAATCACACTGTGGAGGTGATGGTTCCAAACCCGAGGTTAATGGATTATTCTGCATAATGGTAACGTAGTTTTTTGGCACCAGACCAACCATTCCATTGATCTTCCTACATTTCCACCACTCGGGGTCATTTTCAGGTTTTTCAAGAACATCCATTACATCTCCTTTCTCAAAATTAAGTTCTTCATCATTGGATGAGCTGAATGGGTAAAGAGCCTGTACCACATGCAACACTTGCCCAGTATTTAGGTTATTGACGACTGCTGCTAATTTCTCTGACAGAGAACCCACATGGTCACCCAAAGGACTGTCACCTTCCTCAGTTACATAGTTTGAAGGGAACCATCCAACTTGTCCATTGTAGCTACCTCGCCACCACCCATCACTGCACTTCTCCATGACGATCACCTTCGTCCCTTTTATCAATGATAATTCATCCTCTCTCTCTGCCATGTAGTTAAATTTCACAAATGCAGGCATGTTGAGGTCATAGAGACGTTCCCCTGGGTCAACAAAGCTATCATCAGCAGGAGATGCAGAATCTGGCACACTGGGTTTTCTTTTCACTTTTCCAATGCCTGTTTAAATTAGAAAAAAAAGTAATGAGAAAACAAAACAATGATAACCTAAAAAACCAATTTGCTCATTAAGAAATCTTTGACTAGTTTTGTAAGCCTTTAAACTTAAATAAATTCCTCTTTCTTTCTTTCCACCCACCCTCTTCTCCCTTCCTTCCATTCCCATGACTAATAACTAGAAATTTGAACTTTTTGACCACCTCCTTTACCAATTCTCTTTTCATAACCACTTAACTGTAGTTATATCACAATTTACCTTTTCATCTTTCTTATCAAAGACTCTAAAATAACTGCACAATTATAAAATTGTCCTAAATTAATGCATTTTCTCTGAAATGTAAATACAGATTATTTCTCTCATACCTACAATCTAAGTACATACATAAAGGATCCAACAAACCCATCTTCTTCTTGTCTTTTAAAACCTAGATTTTTTATAATTGAAGTAAACAATAAATTAATTTACAACTTGATGTATACAATATAAAACCGTAGTTATGTCTGGGTAATACTCTCATTTGCTTTCTTAGTTCTAAGACCCAAGTTGCTCTTATTTGTTTCCTATGTTTATTTTAAAATAATATATTATTTGTTTGCTTCCTCTCATTCCATTCACATATAAGCTCCACACGGGCAGGGATTTTGTTTACTTTGTTCATGGATGTAATCCCAAGGATCTCACAATGGGTGATTAATATAAACTTGTTGAAAGATATGAAAAAATCATCAAATGGTGCCATCATCACAAATGTATGTTACGTCAACTCTAATCAGGCATTTTCACCACTGCTCATTTCTTATCACATGATTTTATATTCTATTTTTAGCAAGAAAAGGAAGGCATTCCTAGGTAAAATTTTTTAAATACCTTCTCTCTCTCAAAACTTTCTCAGTACTCTTACTCCTTTTCTTCACCCAAGTTTCTAACTACTGATCCTTCTGGGTTCTTGCCATCTTTACTGCCTCTTTTATGACACTTGACCATCCTTGTTTCCTATCTACTCTATTGTTTAAAACTACACTCAGATCACTTCTATTCTTAAATAATTTTATTTCAACTCTGCTACTCCCTTTAAACTATGCCATTATTTAAAAAGTTGTCTTCCCTTTTTCCTTCAATTTTTTCACCATTCACTCCTAACTTCTTATAATATTAAATTTTTCTTCTAAACCTTGTTATAAAATTGCATCCTATTTGTTTACTAGTCTGTGTCCTTAATAAGAGAATTAGCTTCCCTCAGATAGAAAATGATTTTACTACCTTGTATCTCCAGTGCTTAGCAGTACAGCACCTACACTAGTAGTAGAAACAAAGTCAATTTTTGTGGATGAATCCAAAGGTGAATGATTCCTTAGTTGAAAGTGTTTCCTGAGATGTCATGCTTGGACTTCCCCTATACCTCAAGGAAATCATACACTTTCATTTTTATAACTTCTGTATAGACGGTTCCAAGGTCTCTTTGCAGCTCTAAGCTTTTTCTGGAATTCAAGCACTACAATTCCAATTGTCACTAGATATCTACAGATTGTACCACAGCACCTCAAATACAAACACCCATGTCCAAATAAAATATCCATAAATCAATTCCATTCCTCCCAATTTTCTTACTTCTGATTAGTAGTACCATCATCCTTTAAAATCCTCACATTAGAATTCCTATGGAGTAGAAAATTCTAGGCCTCCATTCATTCACCAAAAAGTAATGAATGAGCTGGCAAATACGGTCAGAATCAACTTTTACAGAATTCTGGAATGTAGTAAAAAATTAGGTCCAGGTTTAGGGAAGAAAGCTGCTGCTTTGTAGCACAGAGAAAGCAGTGGCATTTTAAGTTGCTTGCCAACAATCACCTATATCCCCAATCAGTAGTGGTTGTGAGAACAGCGATCTGCACTCCTAATGCCAGAAGAAGCACCAAAGATCTTATTCTCAAAGAACTGTAGTTGTGGGTTTCAATCTATCTCAGCTACCTGAAGGACCAGCACAACGGCTTGCCTTGGTTTCACCTGCCTTGCAGCATTCCCAGGGCAAGAGTGTCTTTTGCTGAAATCATTAATTGATACAGTAGTCTGGGGCAAGTGACAACAATTGGACAAGAAATAGACATTAAAAACATGAGAAAGAGTCTGCGAAAGAATATACATGGGGTAATAAGGGCTTTTAAAAGTTGCTGTGTATACCAGATAATCAAGATCTCTGAAATACATCCATGCATAAATGGTCAACTGATTTTCAACAAGGAGGCAAACATCATTCAATGGGGAAAAGAACAGTCTCTTCAACAAATGGTGCTAGGACAACTGAATATCCA